GTATAAGAGCAGCCAGTGCTTTTAACCCACTGAGCCATCTATCCAGCTCCTATTATTTTTTTCAATCACTTGTAAATTCTATTGATTTATTGATTGCCCACTTCTTTATCACTTTTCTATTCTCATTCTATCATCAGTTTTTCCTCTTTTCTAAGGTAGGCATGTAAGTTGTAAGTATAAAACTGTTCTTAAAAGTACTAAATTACTTTTATGCATTATTGTATTGATTTCCTAGATTAAGCAAATTAAATGAACTTTTTTTCTTAATATATCACAAATACATTGTCATAAATTTCTGGAGGAAAGAGATCCTAAATTCATGAGACAAGCATGCTGTATTCCTCCTGATGGCCCTGGGGAGAGTCACTTGCCTTTCCAGTTTGTAGGTCCACCTCATCTTATCTTTGGGGTTTTGTCCTTGTACCACCTCAATCTTTACTCCCATGATCACATCTCTTTATTTCTAAACTTCCTCCACCTTCTTATAAAGAACTTTGAAATTACTTTAAGTCTACATAGATAATGTAAAATAATCTCCCAATCTCAAGATCTTTACATTTGTAAAGTCTCTATGTAAGCTAACGTGGCCAAAGGTGTAGGGGCTAAGTACATGAATGTCTTTGGAGGACCACTTTTCTATGTACTGTATACATGCTTTGATGTTGTAGCATTTGTATAATTGTATTCTAATTTATTTTCAGTTCAACCTGATTTTTCCACAGACATGCAAGTTACTTAGAACTATTTGTTTTTCAAATACATGGGCTTTTTGCAACTTAGCATTTGTGTCTGTGGGAATTTACATCAGATACATGTTCTGAGGTTGTTGGACACCATGTATTAGATAAATATCTATTAGGTCTTGCTACATAATGTGCTGTTAAAACTTGCTAAATGCATATTTCTTTTCTTTGCCTGGAAAATCAATTACTGTGACTGTTTTAAAAATTCTGATCATGCCATTGCAGAAGAGGGGGTGGAAATATTGTAAGAGCCAGGGCTGGAGTTCATGAACACAGGGAACTAGAGGCTTTCAGGCCACTGGAAGCTTGTACATGTGAACTTGTGGAAATGGTGGCATAGAGCACAGGACCCATGCCACCTCAATTAAACAAAGATCCAGAGGGAAGGAGAGAAATGGGTGTCAGGGGGCACTAGATTGAGAACTATTGGAGACTAATTGATGCTAGATGAGGGAAAGGATGCCTTACAATCTCTAGATGGGCTGAGTAGACTCCAGTGAATGAATTTACACTGAAGGACATCTGGGTACAAATGCTTGACTGGATAGGACTTAACATGTATGATGGAATACATGAGGTACAGTGGGGAATGGGGGAGGAGGTCTAAATTTGATTAAGAACTGTTGTATGAATTTACAAAAGCTCAATAAAAAATATTTTTAAAAAATACACATTACTTATTTTTCAAATGCAACTTTTCTGTTTCTTAACTGATTGTTGTGTTCTCACCATGAAGGCATTACCCTCATTTTTCTGTCATATTTTGTGGATCAGGAACAAGGAACAAGTTTAAAATTAATCTTTCCTTGAAAAAACAATGAAAAGCTGTCATTAGCAGATCATCTCTAAACTAAATTCTAAAGACATTTTTTGTAGTCAAAAGAAATTGATCCAAAATAGAGACCTAATACAAGAAAGAACAGAAAACACACAAATTTGTCGATATATAAGTAAATCTAAGGTCCTCATTCAAGCAGACTTGTGGAACTTTGAAAACATAGATTTAAAATATTCAACAATAATTACTAAGTGGTTAAATGTAAATCTAATAGTTTTGGTCTTTACTAGGATTAGGAGGTATTTTTTAAAAACTATTTAACAACATAAAAAGTAATAGGTTTAATTATGGTATTTTCATGCATATGTGCCACACTGTTTTGTTCCAATTCATCTTCCCTCATTTATAAAAATTTAATTAGACATCTATAAGAACTTATTCCTTTACCTTGCATGACTTTTCACTTCTTTTTCTGGCTTAGTTCTCTCTCTCTCTCTCTCTCTCTCTCTCTCTCTCTCTTTCTCTCTCACTCTAGGGATCAGTCCAGGGCCTTACATGCTAATAAAGCCCTCTCCATTGAATTATACCACCAGCCCCATCTGTCTTACATTAATTTTCAGAAAAAGTTTTTGTTCTATTTCTTGACTAGTTCTTCGATTTTATTTTTTACTGTGTTTAATCTGTTGTGAAATTCAACCACTGAATTATTTAGCTATATTATTATGTTTTTAATTTTCACAGTGGGATTTGTTTTCAATGTGATTGGTCTTCAATCATACTTCAAGCCTTTTCCTCATGTGTATTAGTTTTATTTCCCAGTTACTGATAAGTACCTTATAATGTGTACTCACTAAATTCTTTAATCAAATGCCCAGCTGTACTAATACTTAGACATGTTAGTTGAGTGACTGTAAATCTACAGCCATCCTTATTTGCAAAATGGAATATGGTGGGAATTACAAAACTTCCCATCATTCTATGGAAGAAATTACTGCTTGTAGTCCATTTTTGAAAAGAGTTCTCTTTTTCTATTTTAAAGGTTTACAATTATATTTTAATCAAAATAAAATTTTAATATGAATAAATAAATTCCCAATGGATTACAAATGAAAGACAAACACTTTGTGACTTTGAAGATAAATTTTATTTAAAATGTCTATTTTTATTTCCATATTATTGGAAGCATTAGCAAAACTCTTTGGGAACACATAAAAGCTATTAATATTAAAATAGCAATCTACTTTTCAGAAATCCATAACTATTTAAATAAAATTAGGAGAATCTATTTGTATATAATAAGTACACTTTACCATCAAGACATCACCTTGCTTAGTGAACTTTTGCTGTCTGGAAACAGGTCATCCTAACTCAGGACTCTGTAACTCATCAGAACACTGCACAACAAGCTGATAACAGCAAGAACACGGAACACCAAATCTAGGATTGTCAGCTCAACTAACAGTTAAGGCAAACAATATGTTTACACTAAAAAAATGATTAATTGTTATCTGAAATGAAAATTTAGTTGGTTATGTTTTCTTTCTTTATACCTTTTCTCTTCAATTAATCTAAAAAGCCTGAACAATCGTTCTCTAATTTAACATCTGCATACTATTTTCCTAACTCTCCCTCTTCCGTCCCCATTTTTCCAAGCTCATGCACAAATATTACTGGATTTGATGCATAAATAAATACAGAAATAATAAAAAGATGAATAGTCATCTTACATAATCAGGAAAACCAGAGCTTACGCATGTCCCCACAACATCCCTTCAAGGTAGGAGAGTTGCTAGTACTTTGTCTCCAGTTCTGGCTAAAAGGAGAAGCCATGTTTAGATGAAGAGGGCCGGCAGAACCAGGACTTCCAGATGTAAATAAATGCGGGATTTCCATTTAAATTTGAAGATCCCACAGACATCATTGTCCTGTCATTTTCATGTGAAGCTCAAACATCACATTTCCAGCAAAACAATTCCTGAAATTTGCTCCAGATTTAAACAAAATTTTTATACTAAAATAAGGGTATTTCCTGAAAAATGACACGTTGGACATAATCTATATAGAGAACAAAACAATTAATGATAAACTTAATAAGGCAGCTTTTAAACCAGATGCTGTACAAAATACATTTAGTGTGTTACATATCAAA